CACACACACACACACACACACACACAGACACACACATACACACACACACACATACACACACGCACACACGCACACACACACACGTGCGCGCACTAAAATAGCTCTTATTCTTCTTTAGAGCCAGTTAAATACGTGACTGCTTGTGTGGGTGTGTTTTGTATATGTGCCCTTTTTCTGTACTTTTCCTTGACTAAAACTTTTTTTCTGTTCTTTTCATTAGATGTATTTTTTGGGTTCTTTTATTCCTTTCACTTTTCTGTTTGTGTGTTTCCCCTTACGTGTACTATTTTCTGTTCTTTTCATTACCTGCACATGTTTTTGTTTCGTTACTGTACTTTTCTGTTCTTTTTTAAGCCTATACTTTTTTCTGTTCTTTTTATTGCGTGTTCTGTTTTGTCTTTTGTTCTTTTTGTTATCTGTACATTGTTCTGTTATGGTTATTACCCGTGCTTTTGTTTAGTTCTTTTTGTTATTTGTACATTTTTCGTTTCTTTTTATTACCTGTATATTTTTGTTGTTGTTCTTTTTCTTACCTGTATTTTTTGTTGGGTTCTTTTTGTTACCTGTACATTTTATGCCTTTTAGGATCCCTCACCTGTACTCATAGGTGACTGCGGCAAGGCAGTCTGTGTCTGAGCAGTGCCGAGGGTAGAGGAAACATCCTTTGCTCTCTCCACAGCTGCTGAGGTCAATGTCTGTTATGTTGGTCTGAAGAGGTATAGCCTGAGGGGAAGTGGGGAGGTTGGGAGGTGGTGTATTGTGGGAAAGTTAATGGGGTTATTGCTGCTATTGGTGCTGTTTGATTTATTGTTAATTTTAATTTTTATGTGGTGTTTTTATGCCCCCTAATCTTCAGAGCTCGCACAGGACACTTACACACCAACAAGCACATAAACAGAATTAACCCGAATGGGAACCCCATTGCAGACACTGCGACTACCACGAGGGGACCGTTCAACATCTTCTCCTTCACTGCCCAAACCTGGCAGTTCTTCGACGCAGGCTCCTACACACACCTACAGACTTACAAAGCCTGCTCTGCCAAGAGCGAAATGCTCACAGCTAAAGAGATTTGAAAACAACAACAACAACAATGCCCTCATCGACACTCTTTAGATCATTGTGAGGCAGCGTGGTGGAATCAGACTCTCGTCAATTTATGGGCATGTTGAGTTATTGGTGTCATCCTAAAGCTTCTTCATTTGTCTTTATGTCAATGAAAAAAATATCCATTTATCTTGATTACAAGTCGAGATATTTGCGAATGAAGGAGGTGGGGTCACCTGTTTTCAGAGGTAAAATTAGTGAAAAAATTGCCGCCAAAGATTGATAATTTCCTTAGTTTAAGAGTCCGTGGTAACTGAAAATTTACATTTTTTGTGCTTTTAATCAACGTTTTCAAGACAAATCCCCTCAGAAATGAGTTCGTTAATGGGATTGAAAGGTGTTGAGCCAAAAAATAAAAAATTGATAAAAATCACAAACCTGCAGAAAAATGAAAGTTTCTTCACTTTGATTATTTTGACGAGAGCCTGATTCCACCACGCTGCCTCACATTTAGGAGGCGGGCCTGTCTGTCAGGGCTAACCCAGACTGAGAGGGATAGAACATCCCATCAGGAAGACCGAGATACTCGATACTAATTTTCCCCACTCAGGAATCAAACTCAGGTCTCTTGCATGCGATAGCGAAACGTCATACCTCTACAATTTCTAGAGAAGTAAAAAAGGGAGCAAAAGTGTACATTTGAGACAATTAATGTAATGTGAAATAAGAAAATCTGGACTATAATAAATTCTCGTACATGGCTTAATTGTATAAAAATTAGATGTTTTATTTGAGAAGTACACATTGCCATAGTATAGACTAATACTAATATTAACCTATGGCCCCAAGTCAGAAACTGCTTTCTTTTTTGGTTGTTGAACTATCTGATATAATAATAGTAATAATAATTTAAAAATTTTTAAAAAGCAAAACAGAAAAGAAGTTTTTCATATGGCGATGAGATCTAGAAGGTTGCCCATAGTGTGTGACTCACTGGAGCAAACGACAATTCAACTAATATTTCGAATATTTA